ATTTAAAGGTATTGCAATGCTTTTTGTAAGACTGAACATATTACATGCTGTATCTTGGCTAAATTCCATCCTTTATAATTACATCCTCTTCTCCCCTTCTCAAACATTTCTTGCTGTCACAAGAGGATGCAGCATTTTTCTTTCTGCTGGTCTAGATGTCTGGGTAGTGGTGTTTCAATCTCATCGTGATCCCTCTGAAAGACAGATTCAAGTTGCCCAAGATGCAGCGTGATCTCTGCATCACTCCCTGTAGCATTGCTGTGGATGGAGAGAAAGAGGGTTTTGAAATTAATACTGAGGCAGAGTTTCCATTTTTCTCCCTGCTTAAGTACAAGCACAAATCTGTTGGTTTGGCTTCCTCCACTGTTAGTCGTTTGCTACAGTATAATCACTCCCTGGAGCAGTGGGAGGCTTAATACTTTAACTCTAAAAAGTACTTTGAGATCATTTTAGTCAAAATGCAAACCCCCAGTATCCCGTTAGTACTGGGAATGCTTTCAGAGCATTGACCAGCTTGTGCTTCCAGGTTGATGAGCTGGTGATTGTAGCCCTTAGATGGCATTTTGATAAGCAGAATCCCATTACGTGTTTGTGGAGAAGGGGGGGGGGGGGGGGGGGGGGGGGGTTACTATGTTAGCTGCTCAATGAACTGCCAAGATTGTACTGAAAGCAAACAAGAGGTGTGTGACTATAAACAAAAAATCCCAGCCACCTGATACTATTTTAATATCGTTTTCTCTGTGGGTACAATGTTTGCTGGTGAGAAGTGCCCACAAGCCTGTTACTTGGAAACACAGGCAGATACTCCACTAGAGCGATGGTCTCGTCTTTGCAGTCGAGTAGCCAGCTGTGGGCAATAGTGGATATTTGAGAGCAGAGCCTAGTGAAGACATCCACCAGTACATCTGGCCAAATGCACCATGCCAAAAGTAAAATTCCCATCACAAATGACACTAGACGAGTATCTTGTTGCCAGTTTCCACAAAGACAAAATTGAATTGACTAAGAAATGAAGCTACTGTTTCTCACCTGGAATACTCACAAATTGGACTGAGGGACTTGGGGAGAGGCTGATCAAGTTTCACTGCAAGTGCCAGAACTACAACTTTTTTTCTGTGTCTAATAGTTTTCTGTGGCACTCAGTCTGCATCCTCTTGGAAGTTGGACTCTCAGTAGGCTTAATCCCTCTTCCCTTTGAGGGCTCTGCTTTGGCGGCAACCAGCCTGATTCCTGACTGCTTTGTACATTTCTAGAGAGAGGTACATAGTGGTTTAAACTAGTGCCATTTATCAGTAGTATCGTCTCTATATGCTCCCTTATACCCTCTTTGCTCAAGAGTATGAGATGGTTTATGCACCAGGCAGTGAATACTTACACCTATAGCTCCCTCTCTCCTTCTTACTTCTTATTTTTCTCTAGTAAATACATGGGGGTCTAAAGGACAATAACATTTTTTGAGAAGTACTGATTTCCTATCTTTCCTTTGGTGAAATCCAGCCCTACTCACATACTCCTTTTGCGGAAAGGTGCTCTAATATTTCAGAGGAATGTCTGTACCAGAAAAAGAAGGCAAAAGAATATGGCAAGGGCCAAGACCTCTACATCAGCTTAATCTTGCCACTGTGGAGCTCTACAGCAGGTAGGAATTGGCAGTACAGCAGTGTGTATACATTCCTGGTGTCAGGAGCCTCTGGGATGCTCTTATCGTGCTGGCTGCAGCCAGAGCTTAGGAAGAACTGGTGGAGCCCCAGAGCAGAGGACTGCTCTGCATCACACCCTGTCACCTTTGTGTGTGAGGCCAGAGAGTGGGAGGGAGGGAGGGAGGGAGGGAGGACAGACATGGTATAGCACCCATGCAGTCAGCCTCGGACCACCCAGCATGGGAATGCTTGGTGGTGACGCCAGGCAACATTCAAGCGCCTTTACACGGTGCAAGAACTTCAGCTGGGGGCTGAGAATCGGCTCTCATGTTTTATTCATCCAAATTGCCTTTCCCCACTCTGGAAATCTACACTCATCTCTTCACTAGAGAATCTGTTCAATTTCCTCTTGTTTAGCACTGTGCTGCAGTGTTCACATTTCCGCCGAGTACCTTCACTTAGAGACTGATCGGCAGTAATCACAAGTCCAACTTCTCAGGAGTGAAGCGTGGGAGAGAGAGGGAGATGTAGGTTCACCTAATTTGATCAGTCTGTTTTGTTATACAGAATATTTGATTTTCAATAGCCAGCTCCTGTGGAAGGAAGTAAAAATATAAGAAATCCAGCTTCCTTTCCTTTTTGCTTTTTTGGTAAGATTTTAGGTTTGACTCATCTTTCCCAGGCTAATTGTCAAGAAACTGACAAATCAGTCGTGGTTGACAAGTGAGTAATTGGGAGAAGAGAGGGAGTGCAGCAGGTGTCAGTACTAATTTGGTAAAACAACAAAAAAAAAAAAAAGAGTGGAGAGTGGTATGGTAGTCACTTACACAGTCATGACGTTACAAGCTTTTCATACAAAATGTGTGCAGGATTTTACAACACTTAGAGCATTAACTATTAACCAGCCACTCCAGGTCCGTCTTAAAGGTGACCTACAAGTTCACCAGAAGATGATTTTTTTTTTGAGCCTCTTAACAGGAAAGACTAGTTCACAACGCTGCTGGGGAACTGGACAAAAATTAGCTTCATGATTCTCACCTGTCACATTGCTGGGCACACAGAACTGTCCTTGCAGGAGGCAGACCCCATGCCCTGGCCCTGACTTGGCTATGCTAGGCTGAACCATCAGGGAAGGATGCCACTGCCAGAGCTGGAGCATTCAATCGCTGTCGCCCTGCCAAGACCTCCATTGCCCACTGCTGCCCGAATTCTCCCAAACTGTGACTCTGCCCAGTCCCTGGTCATTGCCAAGAGGACAATTTTACAGGAAAGCCCAAATCTCACTTGCTGAGTGGAAGAAATAAGCTTTGCACCTGGAGAACAGTCTAAGACGCTGCTGTATTTTAGAAATCAAACTCTTGGAAATAAATTCTTTTACTTACTTGCCAAATCTGCCCCTCTGAGCTCTGTATTTCCTTACTTCAATCTCAGTTGTCACTGACACTGCCTCAACAGCAACCAGTGTTCTCTTTTTGATCTCTGTAATGGTGTTAGCAACTACAGACCAGATAATAGGTTCTACTGGCAGACTCCTAAGACGCACTTTTGCTCTGAAGTAGCTGTACAAATAGCATCGCAGCACTTCATGTTTATTGTCTGCTAAAGATTTCAGTATCTTATATGCTCTATTTCAGAGAAATAAAGCTTTTTTCCCCATCTAACTGCCAGCCATGAAAATTCACCGTGGATTCAAAGCAAAGCTGATTTTTTTCCTGGCTTCTGCATAGTTATTGAGAATACAGAGGCTGCAGGGCAATTTCTGCTCTGGCTTTTATCCATATAACCCCTACTATCTTGAAAACTTGCCTTCACTTTCACGCATGAATTATTTGAGGTGGAGAGGCCCTGCAAGGCAGATCCAGGTAGCAGTTGTGTTTCTAAGGAATGGGGCTGGAGAGGAATCTGGTACTGTGTCCCAGAGCTACAAGGTACTGAAGCTCCTCTCTGACTCAGACCTCAGCAAATCACCTCCAAACACCTGTACCTCCGGTGTAGATCAACTAAGCGACAATTATTTTCTTCTCACTTTCCAGGATGTAAGTATTGCTTATTGAAAACATGTTTGGGTTGTTTTTTTCTGTTTTCTTTAAATAAAAGAGGCATCTCCACCAGACATATGGAGTGGCTCCCGCTCTGCAAAGCATCTATCTGGTGGGGAGCGCATCCATTCAACCTTTCACAATACGGACCTTAATTCAGCAGTGAAGAGAGCTGACAGGCACCTTTGCAGCAGATTTAAATCAGAGGCAAAGACTCGAGCAATATAAAGCAATCTGAGCCAGCCAGCAAAGTCGTGCTGACCTTCTGCCGGTATTACTGCAGCCCCAAGCGTGACTTCGGGTGCTGCGTCCTCGGGAATGACAGCACTGGGGGAAGCCAGCAGGCCCTTCCCGACAGCTGCCTCTGCTCTGTTGCTGCCCGACGGAGTGTTATCACTATGACAACCTACAGGTATAGGATGTGCGCGGTAGCGGGAGCTCCAGCTGACCCTGATTGCGTGTGCATTGCTCAGAGCTGGGCTTCCCTGCCCGGGAGGGGAGCAAAGAATGCGTGGATCTACAGGTGACTCTCCCCTGACTCTGCTCTGTCACTTGCTAGCAAGTTTGAGATGTAAGGCAAGGTGGGAGCTTTAGAGACACTGGGTAGCTAGGGTTTTGAATAATCTTCTCTGGGACGAGGTAAGGGAAGACTCATTTTTCTCTTCCGTTTCTAGAGTCCTTCTTCAGGAAAATCCTTGTGAGAATATAAAGTTGCCCTCCAAGCTCTGCCTTCTCCAGCCTGTTAAAAGGTAAAATGCTTCCAAACCTCATATATACTGCCTGCCTCTCTGTGTGCATGTGTGTGTGTGCATGCGCTCATTACTTTCTTTCACTACTATGACAGCACATGCTCCTCCGAAGCTATTCACAGCATTAGAAATACAACTCCTCCCTCCAGTGCCCCGTGTGTGTGTGTGTGTGTGGCTCGGGCTTTCTGCTTCAGCTCACTCCCCTCTGATCGCGGGGCTGACGGTCACGAATCTGCTCCACACCTCCGGGCTTCACACGGAGGGGAGGAGGATTGGGGAAAACACAGAAGCAGGCACACAACTGACCTACAGAGCCATCAATAACTTACTCCCCTCGCAGCAGAATTGCACAGGGGAGGGGAGGGAGGAAGGAGGGAGAGGAGAAAGAGGGGGAGGAGGAGGAGAAGGAAAAAAAGAAAATCCAGAGAATTCTAGTCTTGCAAATGTAGTGAAACCGGGCGGTCGGAGTTCATTTGCTCTAGAAGAGCAGAGAAGAAAGAGGGCATTAAATGAAAAAAACCGAGAAGGGTCTGTAGCTTTTTTCCTGATAGTAGCAGTGTTTTAGAGGTAAAATGATTCCTCCGAGCAGCACGACTGAAGTCAGCGTGGATAGTGTGGAGAAAGAGAATGAAGTGGAGAGCACAGAGCAGCCCCCCTCTCCAGCATCAACTACCAGCCAGGAATCAAAGGTACTCAGAGAATGAGATTTTTTTTTTTTTTTTTTTTTTACTCTTTCTTTGTTTTGAAAAGAGATGTGTTGCTTTGATTTTTATTTGGAGCCCTGTGCCAGGATCAGCGGTAGAGTGCTATGAGCCACCTCTGATTGCAGTGCCTGCTCTGACACTCCTACTTCTGAATTCTCCGTGTCACCTGGGCAGCTCAGGAGTCTGAACTGGGAAAATACCTGCCTTTTGAGATGTTTGGGTTTGGGGATTTTTGCTTGTGTTTTCTTCTCCTTATTACAGCAAGGGCCTGGGGGAGTGGTGGGGCTCAGGGAGGGAATCAATGCCAATAGATGTTGTTAGCTATTTTCACACCAAGCATCAGATCACTTAAAGGGTTTGTTCATGGTTGGAAAGATTGATTTTTCTCACAGGTTCAGAGAAGAGAATTTTACCTGGGGGCTCGGGGTGTTTCACCTGTCCCACCTTCTCTGGCAGACCCATCAGTGAACTTTCACTGTTTAACAAGCCAACAGTTGAAACAGGATGTAAGTGACAGTTTTGACACAGTAATCCTTATGTACACTACCCAGAAAAGGATTTTTTTCACAGCCTTTTATTTATTTATTAATTTTTAAATGTAGTTCAATTTACCTTACTGAAAACCAACCTCCAGCTCAAATGGCATGGCCTCTGAATTTTTAATTGACTTGCATATGAAAAGTTTTTCTGCCTGCCAGTGTGTTACTTAGAAGATAGAGAGGTAAAGGGAGAAAAGTAGTAACCTCACATAATGAATGTTCCTTGCAGCTTACCTGGATAATGTGCTTTTACTGATCCTCTATTACTTACTTATGATTGATATCATGATAGCATCTGACAAATCTTCCTGTGAACTTCATAGTGATGCTATGTGCTGTGTAAACATGTAAAAATAGGGCGGTCCTTGTCACTAGGAGCTTACAGCTGGGTAGAGCCTTAGGAGGTACTGTGTGAGCAAAACAGCTACTTGACAGGGAAGGTTTGTGCTGGCCCGAGTTTAAAGGCAGTGGCTGCCTGGGTCTAACGTAGGAAGACTGCTACGTTATTCCGCAGTTATAGCTAGGTTTCTGGAGGGTGAATCGAAACTATCTGTCTGTGTGGGTAGAGTTCTGACGTGGGCTTTGGGTTTGTTGTTTTGGTTTTTTTTTTTTTTTATTAGATGTTATACTCCAAGGAGGAGAGCTAAGGTATTCCCTATGTAAAACAGCCTCTTTAAAAGAAAAGAGCTCTCCCAGCAGCAATAGCATACACTATTCACTATACACATTCAGCACTACTGGGACACTGCTGCAGTCTTCCTGGTTAATGGGAAATGAAAAGTAAACGGGTTATTGGTTTAAGCCCAGGCTCTAAAAGGATCTGGTTGATCAGTACCTAAATCTGCCCCCCGAGACCACTTCTCTGGAATTGCTGAATTATTATTTAGCCAGTGGGAAGCTCAGCCCCCCAGTGAGGTCCCAAAAGTAACTGGAGCCTTCACTGCACTGCCAGCACCAGCTCCTCATGTGTGCTGGGCTGCGCACAGGGCCTGGTGGGCTGTGTGCTCCCTGTGCTCCCAGCTGTGGTCCTCACTCAGTGCCAGGCAAGTGGTTATGGAGCTCGAGGTGCTGCTCACATGGTCAGGCACTTCAGTACAATGGTGCTTGAGGGGCTTTCCCACTGGGTGTCAGAGCGCTGTGCCCAAGACGAACTGACCAGCATGAATCCTAAGCTGAGAGAAAGTGAAGTGCTGCACGTAGGGTTCCTTCTTCTTGCTGTTTGTGCATCCATGCGCTTGCAAGGATGACAACAGGAATTAGGCATATCTGGCCAGAGAACAAATAGGCTACGAACTGGTTTATAATCAAACGTTGTCATCATCAGTTTTTGCAGTCTTGTGAGCATTTGAAGCCATGCACTGGAATAGGTAAAAGCTATGACTGTGCAGTTGATGCCGTTACTTGCATACGGATATTTTTAGTAAACATATAATCTGCATATTTATATTTTAGAACTGCAAATATGATCAGAAAGCATGCTGTATTGTCATTTCAGTAGATGAAGTCAAAAGACCTTCTGATCACTGGGGTAATGAGATAAGCTTTCTTTTTTTGGTCCTAGTAAACAGCAGGATGGAAAAATTCTCAGTGATTTCATAAAGATGTTGTTTGTGCTTGGTTTTTTTTTCTAAGAGAATTGATGTGCTTCAAAAGCTAAAGACTTTGACAAATGCATAAATCAGTGCGTGCCAAGGGCCTGTGTGCAAGCTTTTACCCCGCGGTGTCCCCTGCTGAGGGAGCTATCCTGTCATTCACAGAGGGCTAAGCTTTCTTCAGGTACTCTCTGTTGCATAGGTTAACGAGTTCATGTCTGCTGCAGTTACTGCAGAACAGTTTGTGCAGTATCTAATTACCCCACAATGACTTGTTTCTGTGGCAAAACACTATTATGACTCCAAATATAGGAACAGAATCAACATGGATAATAGCAACCTTCAAAACACATTTGAAAACATTTCAGCAGAAAAACAATTTTGAAAAACTAATGTAGAACTAATGTAGCAAGCTTGCTTCCAGTCCTGTGTAATCATAGACAACTGTGGCACATAGTCCCTTGTAGTACCGAAGTCCAGAAAAAAAGAGTTTTACCTAGCACACTCCAGACTGTACTCAGAAGATGACACGGAGGAGATATCGCAATTCCTGACTAGTGTGAGTGCAAGAGACAGAACTTCAGGCTGCTAACAAGTAGCTGAAATTTGGAAGAACGACTCTCATGTGTTAGTCACACACCTCAGTCACAGGAAAGCAGCTCACTCTTTGATAAATGCTAAAGCCTCCCAACACCTTTTCCTATGGATTAGGAGCGTATTTACAGGTGAGCACACCTGGATGCTGAAAGCTGAAAGACTAGACTCTCGTGCATGTCCTCCTCATCATGAGTGCCTTAACAGCTGGACTTCAGTACAACTGCTCAGAATGAGGAATTTCAAATACACTTTCAATTCACCACATTTCCCGGACCCTAAGAGCAAACCCATTTACATGTTCTAAGTATGTTTGCCTTATGGCGTGGTATCCATAGTGCTATATAACGTTGCTGTGTCTTTTGGTTTATGTGTCCTCAAGTACCTTACACATAGTACCTCCAGTGTACTGTCTCATCAATATAACTTCACATAGGTGTCCGAAGGGTAGCAAACACGCTGTAACTGAGCCATCCTGTAGCGCTATATATACTGCTACTCTGCTAAAAACTCTAGAGCTCGAATGGTTAAGAATGTTGCAAAACTAATAATTTATTAAATTAATTTATTGGCTCTTGAAAACATTTACTTCACACCTAAGTATGAGTTGAGTGGATACTTAAAGTTTACTAGGAGAATAACTTTATGAGGGTAATATACAAATACATGCAATTGCTAATTTTATTACATGCATATGTTTGTAGTTATGGCTCCCACCTGCTTGGGTCCTTCACATCTGGCTTACAAGAAGGCAAATTATCAGTTTGCCAAAGACTTTTGTAGATTTACAACTCAGCAAGGGAGGAAGTCATTAGCTAATGAATCCTAAGGGAAAATTTCCTCCTGGTGGTAGCAATTAAAGACACACTGCACACTTGTACAATCACTAACTTAGCAATATAAGCAGAAATCTAGTGGCAGCAATCAGACATATTTCTGATGTCTATTATGTAAAGGTACCCTGGAATTTAGTAAAGAAAACTACAGTTTGAAGGAATATGTGTCTAAAGAAAAGATTCCTACACCTGGCAATATTTCTTTATGTTTTGACATAGTTGGCACATAACTGTGTTAGCTTTATCCTTCTTATATTTAACTGACATTTCTATATGAAGAGGAAAGAGCCCATCTGCTGATTTCTTTAGGTGTGAGTCAAGTCATTATTGCTGTATTGTGAATAATGGCTGGGGGTATTCATAGACAATAGAATATATCTTAGAAAATTCCCTTACCATTTTTAAGGTTTAAGGGGGCCCTGAGCATTTGTGATGTTTGAGCTAGTACCAGCAGGGTCAGTCAGCACTGCTGATCTTCAAGCTATTAGTGTTTCATTGCAAGTATGTTAAACATCTTTCAGGCTCTCTCGTATACCCCAGAAGGGGTATCAAGCCCCGTCCCTGCCATTGCAGGCAATCTGTCATGTAAAAGTTATTTATTTGTAGATATCAGTGGATATCTGTGAAGACCAAATGTTTTTTTCACAGCTTTGCCCATTTTCATCTACTTTTTATCAAGTCCAGCTATAATTGTGATGTACTGCAGTCATGCATCTTTGGTGTGATAGCTTCAAAATCTTCCTCTGAACCACAAATCCATAGGCCTAACAAATTGCTTACACTCAGGTCAGTTAGGTAAGTTGAATATCTGAAAAATGAAAAAAAAAAAAAAAAAAAAAAAGATAAACTAGACCTCCAAATAAATATGGCATCTGGATTATGTATTTCGCAAAATAAATGAGTCAGTCTCAGTCTGACACTTCCATACACTGACTATCCAGTGAACAGTATTTGGGGAAATGCAGACCATTATCTTCAAATTCAGGTATGGCAATTCAGGAGAGGTAGCACAATTGTTCAAACACTAGCTAACCTGATATGTAGTACATAAAATGGAAGTTGCTGAAAAGTAGCAAGCCAAGAAAAGGATTAAGCATTGAAGTTCAACATGTAGACTTCATTTATGTATATCCTCACATTCGTCAAGAAGATTGAACTTACTTTCCCCTGTCTTGCTCGTCCAATAGAGCAATATTGCTTACATGAGGTTTCAAAATCAGGTGTTAATATTAGATACGCAACTAACATAAACAGCTTGAAACTCTTTGGATTTTGACAGGTTTGCATGGGATTTAAGTCATGTAGGATTTGTGCTATGCTGTTAAGCAGAGATCTTCCCTACTTAAAGAGTTAATACTTTATGAGGCTCCATAGATGGTTACTCATCAATTAATATTTTAAAAAGGCAGGGAGTATCGTGCACA